CTTATCTTATCCTAACTTATCCTAACTTATCTTATCCTAACTTATCCTAACTTATCTTATCCTAACTTATCCTAACTTACCCACCCACCTAAAATTACTTAATAGTCCCTCCCAACCCCAAATTCTTAATGATTATGTATCCCCAATTACTTAACTGTCTATAGAAAAAAAAGAAAAACAATGCAATGTTCAAAACCAACTCAGAAATGTTCTACAATCTGAAACAATCAAAAGCGTCCATTCCCATCAGATGCGTGTTCCCTCTCCAGCTGAATATGTAGCATGGTTCCTGCAGACTCTTCTCTTCCGCAGGTGGTCCTTCATGACTTCTCAGGCCTCTCCAACAGGGTGCTCTCTGTTGCCAATCTCGGTACTGTGTGGGATGCGGGATGTCAATGACGTGTGACAGCCAGATCAGTTCAGGAGTCCAAGAGGTACCTGCAGACTTAAACACAACTCTGGACTGCACCATACAGATGCCCATGTCAAATCAGTATCTCAGCCAAATGCCTCCTGGTTCAAACTAAACTGACCCTTCATGATGACCTTCATGACCAGCAATAGGAACTCTCACATCCCCTTCATCATTAATTAATGAAAAATAAAAATTTGGGCCCACAGCCAATTAGTCAATTTTGTCTGCTTGTATGCTCCTCCTTTTCCAACTTATCTTCCCTTCCTAATAAATGAATAAAGGCATTTTTGTTGGAAATGCCAAATAAAAGGGAAAAAAAGGAACAATTAATGTAAATTTGATCAACAGAAGCAAAATAAAAGGAAACTTAACAACTTAACTAAATAAAAGGAAACTTAACAACCTAAGAAAATAAAAGGAAACTTAACAAAATTTCAGTATTATAGAGTAAATTGAAGATTACTTATCCTTAATGCCTAACACCTATAGATAGTATATACTGGAATAGAGCATAGAACACACCGCCGAAAAGTCATTGGCAAGCTTTAAAAAACACTCCAATGTGTGTCAGGGATGTTGTCTGTGAGCTGTGAGCCCACACCAGCATGCTCTCCCTGACTGTCGTGGTCAACTTCCAGATGTCTGCTTGCACTAGCGGCTAATGTCCGTGTGTCTATGCCAGGGCTGCAGATGATGACCCATTTCTAGGCACTCTGCAGCTTGAAGATCAAATCAATTAAAATGGATGAAGGATGGAACTGAGTTCTGAGGTAAACTGAAGTGACGCTTCACAAAAATCAGAAGCACAAATGCACCATTTAAAAGTAATTACTGTAAAACACAATGATTGACAAGCTTTCTGATCCAATTGAACAAGAATCAATAGCCAATTAGGTTTCTTCTTAGAGTTTGTGAATTTTAAAGGCCCAATTGATAGAATTTTCTGAAAGCACAGTCAATACTTGAGAATAACATACTTAAAAAAACAACAACTACTAAACTAAGCATGCAAGGGTAAGGGTGAGAGGATGATGATGCAAAACTTCACCATGAAGAAAAAAAAAAAAAGTGTCCCACTGCTCAAACTGTGTTTGGCCCTGGAGACTGGGCTGGAACATGCGCTCCTTCAGGCCTGCCTCTTTCATCTCCTCGCATGGAAGCAAAATGGAGTCTCAGCAGGCAGGGGGGCCTGACAGATCGTGCAGCAGGGTTAATGGCAGTGGTAGAAAATCACACACAAAGAGTTAAGACAAATAGTTCAAGGGCGGTGCAGCAGGAGAATCACGGAAGCCTTTCCACACTGCACCAGAAAGTTCGGCTTCCTTCATAAGGCGCTCTAGGGTATGGGCAAGTCGTGTCCTGTTCCTCTTCCTCCTCCTCTTCTTCTCCCCCTCTGTAAGAAATCAGTTTGTCCTGTGTCAGCCCTGTGTGCCTTTCTTTGTGCCTCAGGTGGCCTGAAGATCCAGCAGCACACAGTCACTGAGAAGCTGCACAGGATGAATTTGAGGGTAGAGACTCCAAGGGACACGACAGGTTATTTACAAGGAACTGTAGGATGGAGGTGGTGGAGGTGGCGGCGGCGGCGGTGGCGGCGGCTGCGGGGGAGGATACTGAGGTACCGGATGAATGTGATGGTGGTGCCAATGTGGGCACCAGGTGATCACCACAGGCACGAGGATCATTCTTCCGTGTATATCTCGCCCCACTGGGTACCATGCAAATGTCACGTGATGACCTGCGAGGGTAGCATAGGCAGGAATCGGGTGGTATCCAGGAATATGAGGGACAAATTCACCGTAGCTTGCCAGGTGTGCGTGGTCCCCCAAGTTTGGAAGAGTCATGCGGTGGTACTGATTTTGGATCATGCAGTTGTGTTGTGGAGCCGCGCCGTCGTGTTGCGCCGCGCCGTTGTCGTCGTCGTCTTCTTCGTCGTCATGTTGGGTTGCACTGTCATGTTGGGCCGCGCTGTTGTGCTGAGCCGCGCAGCTCTGGTGTTGAGCTCTGCAATTGCTGTAGGTGACTTGGAGTTTCCACCCTCTCTTCACTTGCAGGACCTGGGCTCCATTGGGAGCGACGGTGGGAGTCATGAGGCCATTCTTCACGTTCCTGTCCACGAATTCTCGCAGGGCAGCCATTTCAGGTTCAGACAATGAGTACACGTGTCCGCTGGGGATGCTGTGCGCTCCAGGGATCATCTCGATGTGGGGGTCAACCAGCCGGTGACCAGGGTAGACATGCTCATCCACAGGCGTGTACACGTTATGGACGTAGTAATACCTCACCGGGTAGAGGACGTGGAACACTCGGTATCCATCCGTGTGGTAGAAGAACGGTGGGTGCGGTGGGTAGATGACTGGTAGCAGCACAGCAGGAGGGATCTGAGAGTACATCCGGCATCGAAATCGGCAGTAATCAGAGTTGAAGACAATGGAGCGCGTGCTCCAGGTAATGTGAGGGTCGTGTGTGCTCAGCCAACGAACTCCCAGTACAATCGGAAAGAACGGGGACTGAGTCACATCGAAAGACAGTATTTCTCTGTGGTCACCCAGGTCCACAATCAGGTGGTGCGTTTCCAGAACAATTGGGCCCGAGGCTATAGGATGCCCATCAATCGCTTCCACCATGATTGGCCATTCTTTGATCCTCAGAGGAATGCCGTGTTGGATGACGTAGTCTTGATCGATGAAGTTTCCTGATGCTCCAGAATCAATCATAGCCCGGACAAACAGGGTATGTCTCCCCGGGATATGGATCTGGAGCATCACTTGAAAGTGGGTCGTCACAGCCTCGGGGGGTGGGGACCTTGTTCGCTGCGGCCCGGTCGCTGAAGGTCCCTCTACAGCGGGGCCGGGGAGTTTCCCTGCGGCGCATTCTTGGAGGCCTTCGCAGGACAGTTATCCGCGTAGTGGCCTCCGCTGCCGCAATACAGGCATAAGTTCAGTTTGCGCCGTCTTTCTTTTTCCTCCTGGGACAGGCGCATGCGGGCGCCGCCCACGGGCTCAGTGGGATCGGTCTGCTCGGCTTGAGCTGTGGCCCCCTCCTCGCACGAGGCGGCTCCGGCCTGGGCGTCGTCATCATCTTCATCTTCAGTGTCGTCATCAAATTCCCCGTCAGCGGCGGCTGAGGCGGCGGCTGCGACGGCGGCGGCAGCGGCGGCGGCGGCGGCGGCGTCACGGGCCATTCTTCTCTCGATGTAAATGCAGAGGTTGATCAGCTCGGTCAGGGTGTCTGGGATCTCCTCGTGGGCGAGCTCCTCGTGCATGGCGTCGCTGAGGCCCTCGAGGAACTGGTCGATGAGGGCAGGCTCAGTCCAGTCCAGCTCCAGGGCAAGCATGTGGAATTCGTTGCCGTAGTCGGCCACCGAGTCCGGGCCCTGGCGCAGACGTCTGATCCGGCGTTTGGCAGCTTCACGCCTCTCAGGGTCTTCAAAGACAAGCTTCAGCTCCAGCATGAAGGCCTCGTAGTTGTGCATCAGGTAAGTGTACCTGTCCAGCTTGGCAGTGGCCCAGCGGGCGGCGCGGCCGATCAGCATGCTTGTCACGAAGCACACCCGGCTTCGATCGTCGGCCAGAGCTCTGGTGCCCTTCTCCAGGAAGGCCCGGCACTGGGACAGGAACTGGTTCAGCATTTCGGCGTTGCCATCGAACTTGAAGGGGAGGTCGTCGAGGCAGTCGTCGCCGAACAGCAGTGCCGGGGAAGGGGCTGCGGTAGCACCCTGGAGCTCTTCTTCTTCTTCTTCGCCCTCTCCGGGCACCTGGATCTGAACTTGCTCCGGCTCCGGCTCTGGCTCCTCCTCCTCCTGGGGCAGGTAGCGGAGTCTGTTGTTGGCCGACGGGAGCCAGTACACGTGGTACCGGCGGCGGTCCTCCCACTGGTCCTCGCCGTTGCCGTTGTCTCCATTGTGCTGTGCGCGGCGGCGGCGGCGGCGGCCCAGGATGGACACAGGGCTGCTGGGTCTGTTGTTGTTGTTGTTGTCGTTGGGGGGAGGGGGGGGAGGGGGGGGCGGGCAGTCGGAACCACCTGCCGCAGCCATGGTGGCGGGAGGGGACCTCCCAGGTGTCGCTTCACTCTGGGGAGGAAGCCCAGGACCCTGGGCCCCTCGCTGTTGTCGGCGTCTCCTCCTGTTCCTGTAAATGACAACAAAAGCATACACTCAACATACACATTCACAGCAGTCTCTAGAAACAAGGGTTTAACTTTTCAAATATCCCTTGATAATTATCAGTTGATAATTAGTCGACAACACACGCCCTCCAAAGAGGATGAAGTAATCGTTCACGAAATAATCAAAAGCACACTACTTCTTGATGTCCAGACATCCAAATGACCCTTCTCCTAAAAAAAAAGTCACCTGCTCCTCATAATTACTACATGACCTTCATCAACAGCACCCTCATCTTCATAAACTATAAAGGAAAGGGGATAACAGTAAACAAGTCCTTTTATATTGGAGGGTCCAAGTCAAAGATAAATAGGACATGAATTATGCAAAATAACTTCTAAATTATGCAAAATGATCCCAACACCATCCGTTTTACTAATAAGGATGTTAGGGAAAAGTAACTAATACGTAATCAATAAGAAAGGACACACACAAGAGGTGGGTATTAGAACCAGTGTGTGTACTCATCAGCTCTGAAAAACATCAAGTAGACTTGGCCACATGTCACAACAGAGGTCACCCTTAACATTAAAGGTCTAATTATCAAGTCAAACAACCAACCACCATCACAAAGCCAAGACTGTCTAATTGCTTTTGTGACCACAAGTTAACTTCCTCAGAATCCTCTCTGGGGCAGAAATGGCATTGAACAGTACATGGGGATGTCAGTTTACCTTATTAGGCAATCATTAAACAAATATTAATTGATGCCTCCTAGGAAGAAATGGGCTATACAATAGGACATCTTTTTTAATGATGCCTGATAATAGTACAATTCAAATTTGTTGTGCCTTAATTAAATAAATCACTGAATTATAACCATTAACTGATTATTAATAAGGTTATTAATTAAAAAACAAAACAAAAAGGGCCCACCCAAGGGCTTGTAAAATGAAGGTGGGATGGGCCTGGACTCCTAGGGGAGTGGATGGGGCGGGGGAGGGGTTTAAATGTTTTCATTATGAGTGCAGTGATAACTATAGCACAGTATCTGCCTGTGTACTTCCTAAAAAAGGGTTAAATGCAATCAGAGTGATTAATAATCATGTATTTGTAAGGATCTCAAATTTGGAAAATTAAAATAATTGTAGTAAAGAATAAGACATTAAAGTTTTACAAACTTTGTAATTGGACAGTCTAGTAAACTTTTTTTTTTTTTTGGTTTTTCGAGACAGGGTTTCTCTGTGTAGCTTTGCGCCTTTCCTGGAGCTCACTTGGTAGCCCAGGCTGGCCTCGAACTCACAGAGATCCGCCTGCCTCCGCCTCCCGAGTGCTGGGATTAAAGGCGTGCGCCACCAACGCCCGGCTAGTAAACTTTTTAAAAAGTTTAACTAAGTTTATTAAAGTTAAAAAAACTTTTAAAAAGTTTGGACTTACAGACAACTTCTAAGTTTAAAGGCTAAAACTTAAGAAAGTTTTAAAAAACTTTGTAATTGGACAGTCTATCAAACTTTTTAAAAAGTTTAAGTTTACTGGAGTTTAAAAAACTTTTTTTAAAAGTTTGAACTTACTAACAACTTTTGAGTTTAAAGCTTAAAACTTTAGAAAGTTTTAAAGTTCTGTTTTTGAAAGTTTAAACTTTCAAAAAGTTTAAAACTTATTAATAGTTACAAACTTTTAATTTAAAAAGTTCAATAAAAGTTTAAGGACATAAAGTTTAAAACTTTTGAACAAACAAAAGTTTAAAAATAAGTTGTTCTTCTCTGACCAATCAAGGCACAAATGGGCCCTCATTAAATTCCATGAAACAAAAAAAGATAAAAATTTGTTAATTAGAAAATTAGATGGAAAGCAGCTAATATTTCAATCAACAGACTTTTAAAAAATGGAGGAAAACTGTCATCCCACATGGCACCTGTTCATTACCCTTGTCCAGTCCCCCTGCTTTACTACCCCCCCCCCCCCCCCCCCCCCCCCCCCCCCCTTTTTCCCCACCCCGCCCCCCACCCCGCCCATCTTTCAGGCCCCTCCCTTGCCATAACCCCCGCAGCCATTTCCCTTTGCTGTTCCTGTGGCCTCTCCAATGAGGAGAGCACACAGGGTTCTTAAAGGGCAGGGATTAGTGTGCCATTTTAATAGTTTTAACACTTCTTCTTAATCACTTTAATAACAGGCTACCAAAGCTAACAATAACTGATAATAGTCAAGTTTTTAAAAAGTTAGAAGATGCCTTGACTTCTTTAGAGACAAGTGTACTGGTAACAAAGACCATAGTCAAAACAATGCAATATTTTTTAATTAAATTGTTTTAATCTCTCATTAAAAATCAATTAATAAGCACTAGTCAGATGACTAAAGTGTGACTTCTGTCATCTAGAAAATAATCATTTCAAAACAGAAATTAAAAACTTCCATAAAATGGTCTCAGCATGGCTTGGTGCAGCCTGACCCAGGTCAGGAAGGTACACAATCTATCAGGGTGGGCTTTACTGAAGCCAGGTCTGGTGGGCAGTAACACCTATAAAAGGCAATTACAGGACAGCAATTGCATTAGGAAATGAGCAATCAATACATTGTTTGTATTGATATTTTATAAACAATATAATATTTTGCAATATAAGTAAGATAATTTAGAGACTGGAGTTAAGGAAATGGGGGTGGGGCTGTGCCCATGTAAGTTGGGGAAGCGTGCCCCTCCCACCTGGATTTTCAGGGGTTTGCTTTTGTTTTTTAATAAGACAGTACTGATTAAACACATTAAAGGCCCCATGTGGCCTGTGAGGTCACCATTTTAAGATTTGTGACCACAATTGATGGGAGGGTAAGAAGCATGTGGACTTCCTTTTAATTTGACTTAAAACTGTGGCTCCCCCAATTCCCTCTTAAGGGGGGGGGGATTAGGAGTGGGGGTTGCTGAGACTCCCATTCCTGAAAACTGAAAGGTCACACTGCATAAGCCAAGCTACCTGAGGTGCCATCTTCATAGGATAAATAAGTACATCTGATTAATTATTAACTCTTAACAATGACTTCTTCAAACCTCTTTTTTAATTCCCCCAATACATCAAAGGACAATAATAGTAAATAAAATCATATAAAGTGTCTCATTAGGAAATGAAACACAATTAAGCAACTTAGTTGCTTTAAATTTTTAAATGTCCTTTTCTTAGTATCATATGAATTATGTGAAATGCAAATTCTAATTTGCATATATTTATTTCCAATGGTTTGAACCTCTTTAATATGCAAATAAAATTCCCAAAGCAAAGCAAATTTCAAGCTGTAATTATAAGCACCTATTTCCCATGGACAGTTATACTTTAGGGGAGGGGCACTAAGAAGGTGAGAGTTTCGGGGAGCAAGAGTCCCCCCCATTTCTCCCCCTTAAAACATCCTGGCTCATAGTTTGTAATGTATGGAACCAGTTTTTTCTTTTTTTAATTTCTTCATTAATTAAGAGATTTCTATTTGGCTTTTCTGTAAATTACAGATGTTTAATTAAGCCAGTTGAAATAATCTATGTTTTGCAATGTAACCACTCTGTGACATCACACAAATTTTAAATGTCAATATGTAGCATTAATAATCCACTTGTCCCAAATTTAAACTAGCTTTTTATGAAAAAAGCTAATTACTTGGGACAGCAAATAATTAGCTTTTTATGAAAAAAGCTAATTACTTGGAATAACAAATAATTAGCTTTTTATGAAAAAAGCTAATTACTTGGAATAACAAATAATTAGCTTTTTATGAAAAAAGCTAATTATTTGGAAACTATAATTTTGTTTCACATTATAATTACAGCTTACTTTGCTGGAGTTCAAAAATACACTTAAAAAAAAGTTTTAAATGTAAGAGAGAGGTGGGCAACAGCCCAGCTCAGGCCAGTAAAGCACCACAGGAGAAAGGACCACAAACTCAAAAAAGCCTGAAGGCCAGCAGCAAGACAATGAACAATTTACTCTGGCCAAGAGCACACCTTTAATGAATGCCTACTAAGTGCCAAGCACCACTTATTATATGTAGGCAGGCCAGCCAGAGCTAATCACCTAGAATTTTTAAGGAAAAAACAACTCAGAAAACAACTGTCTCCTCCCTTAGAGGCTCATCCAAAACAACAATGCCACTTCAAACTCCTAAGAAACACAGTTCAAGCTGCTTCTGTTTTTATATCCAATCATTTCCAGTAAGTCCAAGGGTGTCTTGGGCCAATAATTAAATATGAAAATATTTTAAATTTAATTTTTAATAAAATAAATAATTGGCTTAAATGCTTCAAGGCATCAGCCAAGGTCTTCTTAGAAGTTCTCATATCCCACTATCAGATTTAATTGTGGGATCATTTTATTTAATAATGCAAGGCACTTATTAAAAGTGCTTATGCATGCCAGGTATATTTATTATTGTTGTTAATTATTCTTATTATTCTTATATTTACTAGACACCTGTGGACAAAAAGCAAAACCGCGCAACAGAGAACCCGCAGGGAGGCGGGGCTGTACAGCCAGGCTCAGACTGTGTGGCGCAGTTGCGCAGTGGAGGCAAACCTGAAGGGAGGGGCTGGGGGCCATACTGCGCAGGCGCAGGCTGGCTGAGGGGAGGCGGGGCTCTGGGGCTCTTCAGTGGAGAAGCTCTGGGAGGGGCTGAGCATTAAGAGAGGCGGGCCTGGGGCGGGGCCTGGGCAGGCCACCTCAGAGGAGGTAGGCCTTGGGGGTGGGGCCTGGGGCGGGGCTGGGCAGGCCACGTCAGAGGAGGCGGGCCTGGGGCAGGGCTGGGCAGGTCACCGCAGAGGAGGCGGGCCTTGGGCGGGGCCTTGGGCGGGGCTGGGCAGGCCACGTCAGAGGAGGCGGGCCTTGGGCGGGGCTGGGCAGGCCACGTCAGAGGAGGCAGGCCTTGGGCGGGGCCTTGGGCGGGGCTGGGCAGGCCACGTCAGAGGAGGCGGGCCTTGGGCAGGGCTGGGCAGGCCACCTCAGAGGAGGCGGGCCTTGGGCGGGGCTGGGCAGGCCACGTCAGAGGAGGCGGGCCTTGGGCGGGGCTAAGCAGGCTGGCTCTAAGGCGTCAGCACTTGGGAGGTTGGGCCTGTGGAAGCATGTTCTGGAAAGGCGCGCGCCACGCGGGGCGCGGGCGAGGCGCTAGGCCTCCGAGTGGACACTGCAGAGAAGGCAGGCTAGATGGGAGGGGCAGGTCTGAGACTGGCTGCTACAGGGCTGCAGAGTGACTGCACTCCTCCCCCCGCCTCCCCCACCTCCCCCCACCTCCCCAGACCCCTCCCACCAGCTTCCAACAACCAGATTCCTTCCATGCAGCAGGAGCAAGCCTCCCCCTCCCCTCGGCCTCGTACCCACCCCGCAAATCAGACAGTTTCCACAAACTGTTGCTGGGCACCAATCTGCGCCACCAAGTCAATTGCACCGTCACGTCAATCAATCACCACTAGACAAGGCAGTCCGTTCTGCCATCTTCAAAATCCACCCCCCACCCCCCCACCACTCAACTGCCCGAGCAGGAATGGCGTCAACACTAATTTTTGCCGCCCAGGGCTCCATTTTGTCTAATACCACCATCATGCAGCTAGCCGTCCTTCGGGAAAACGGAACGGAGCCGTTCCAAAAGGCGCAAGGGTTTTGTCCCCCCACCCTCCGAGGAGAGAGTTGTACTTTCTCGTCCTTCCAAAGCCACTTTTTCTGGAGCTCAAGGGTCTGGCTTTTTTGGCTCTGCGGCAGTTTGTAGCGCATTTCTAAATTCATTTTTCTTGCGCTTTTGCATTTGGTTACTCTCCTGCACTCAGAATTTAGTGCGTGAAGCACGGATCAGTTCGCGGATCGCCGTATTTCGGCCGCGTTTGCCGCGCTTGAAGCGCCCGTTTCGTACAGAAGCGCATGAAGCGCCCATTAGTACAGCAGAGGCGCATGAAGCGCCCATTAGTACAGCGAGGCGCATGAAGCGCCTCTTAGTACAGTGAAGCGCATTAAGCGCCTATTAGTAATACCGAAGCGCATGAAGCGCCCATCAGTTGGTAGCGCATGAAGCGCCTATTAGTATTTCGCGGCGCATGAAGCGCCCGTCTGCAGCAGCGCAACTGAAGCGCTTCTCCGTTTGCAGCGCAGTGAAGCGCCCAAGAGTTGCAGAGCCGTCACTTTGCAGCGCGTTTGAGGAGCACATCGCAGTTCGGTCCGTAGCTCATGTGCGTCTGCAGCTCATCGCTGTCCGCAGCTCATGCGTCTACTGACCAATTCGGGACGCGAGTCGTGCAAAGCGAAGCCGTGAAGACTTGCTTTCCACGCTCGCGTCTCGGGATCCGGCCACTGAAGGCGTGAAAAAAAAAGATTTGCGAGGAGATATTCCGGGGCGCTACTTCATCTCCCGCAGCTCCCGAGTATACGGGGGGTATGCGTGTGATCGTTTTTTAAAAAAAAAAAAATCCTCACCGCATACTCACCACGCGAGGACTCCTCTGCGAAGACGGGAAGGGCGATGGGGTCTCACACCTGGCCGGGCGAAGGTCCACTGGTGACCGCGGTCCGGAGATTCTCCGGACCGCGGACCGCGCAGCGGACCTCGGCGACGCTCGGTGGACCTTCTCCGGTGGTTGGCTTCCTCGGGTCGGAGTCGGGATTCTTCTTCTTCTCCTCCTTCGACACACACCAACCGAAGTTGGAAACGCGTGTGCCGAGAGCCCGGACCGCTCGCCTTATATAGTCTGTTCCGAAGAGGGGGGCGCCAAATCCCAGCGTGCTCCGCGGGCTTGCGGGGGCGGAGGGGGTGCGTGGGCGGGCGCCCGGGGGGATGGGTGGGGGGTGCAGCCCGCGCTGCGCTGGCCCGCCGCTAGGGGGAGCATGGGCCCGGGTGGGGGGTGCATGAATCCGATGCTGAACTGGCCAAGCTGGGAGGAAAGAAGAAAGGGAGGGGAGGGGAGAAGCCGGCCTAGGCAGGCCAAGAATGCTATTATTCTGGTGGTGGGCGCTGGGAGACCCCTGTGCTTGGACGGGAAAGGGTCGGGGGACACGCAGGATGAGCCCCGCGACCAGTGGCACGTTCTTACTGACAGGTTAGTGGTCTGCGCGCGACACTGGAGGTTCGGGGGCCCACAGGCCGCCGCCTCCCCCTCCCCCACTCGGGTTCCGGGGTACCAGGGCGTGCCCAGAGGGTGCGAGCCCCTCTCTCTGCACGATGCCCCCACAGCACCCCTCTCTCGGGGCACCCCGAAGCCCACCTCCTGGCACCGGTGGGTCCCTCCCCAGGCTTGACCTCTGGCCTTTTCTTTCTTTCTGCACCCCCACGGCCCCTCCCTGTCCTGCAGGGCAGGAATTCATCTCCAGTTTCCACTGCGGGCACCCCTCCCTGCCCCCACCCTGGTGGAGGACACATCTTCTGATCCCTGAAGCAGAGACCTGGGGGTCATCGCCCCTTGGGGTGGGGGGCTTTACCCCACAATTGAGACTCCTTGGCCTAGATGCGAGCCAAAGGACATGGCTGACCAGCTGCTTTCTCTCGCACACAAAGATGTACAAATCTTTTCTCCCTTTCTGGGATCTGATTGAGAGAGAGAGACCACCAAAATATGACATTTAAAAGGCTGAATCCCCCCTTCTTTTTAAGCATATTTCCCGGGGGCGCAAACCTGGTTTTTCTTGGGTTTTACCAAACAGGGAAGTAGAATCATGAAATGCTGGGAGCCAAACGGTATTCGGGCCGGGGTCAACCATGGCTGGGGGCCAGGGAGGCTGCACACAGCACCCATTGCCCTACTAAATGCAGTCTGAGGGGAAAGCAGGAACAATTGAAAACAGCTGGGGATGCTTCCCGCGTTCTTGGCGGGCTTTGGCGGTTTCAGCTACGGACTGATGGTGGTGATTACAAGGTTTACGGGGAGACCTCGGCTTTCTCCCCGCGTCGCGTCGTTACATTTTTCTAAATCTTGTGCGTGAATGACTGTTTTGGGGTGCGGTAACTGCACGCTTAAACCTTTGAAACAGGTTGCTGAGACTGGGCTCCAAACATTTGCTTGACTTGGTTACATATAAACCTGTGATTTTTCTTTAACGTAGGGAAATTCGCAAAGGGAGAAAACACTCAAATACTGAAGAGAAAGGAGGCGCAATAAAACCTTAATGTGGATTCCCACCTAAGCTGCGCAAAATGTTAGGCGCGGAGAAAATGGACAATCTGTTGCTAATCTTTGTCCAAAGTTAAAGTTAAAAGAAAAATCCGATTGTCTACAACTGAGTTGGATTTATTCACCACAGATGAAACGTATTTGTCTTTCAAGACTAAAACTCGGCGTATTTCAGGAAGAGTCCTGCAGCTTTTTTCCTTAAAGGAAAAAGCGAGACTTTGACCCATTGTGTACCACAAGATGGAAGGGACCCTGCGCTATACAAAGCATTAATGTTTTTAGCATTAAGCAAAAATTCATTCATTTACTGGGAACCTACTTATTAGAAATTAAGTGTTGAGCCCCAGCAACAGAAATGAATTAGTGCGGATTTCCAGCAGGGAAAGGTTTTTTTTTTTTCTTTTTAGGAAGTTAGGTGAACACAATCGTGTTTTTTTGAATTTAAAAATGTTTATCCTCTTCTGTAAGACAGACTAATTCCAGGATTTAAAAAAAATGTTTATTTAACAGTCGCTGTTCTGTTGACGACGGGACTGTCAGATTCTTAGCAATTGTTTCTCATCCAAAGTTAATTTACCTAGCTGTTCACTGATAACACTGCTTTTTAAAAAGTGAGATTTATAGCAAGCATAGGTAAAAAAAAAAAATAAAGAAAGAAAGAAAACTCAAGTGAAAAAAAATCACCTAAGTCTTTCAAGGCTTGAACTAATTTGATTTTTCATTTCAAAATTTGAACCCGGTGTTTTTGGCTTAAAAAGTAAAAAAGGCTTTGTATTTTTATAATAATAGTAAGTCTGCTCATTGTCCAAATTCCAGAGAGAGCCTCAATAAAGGCAATCAAGATCACCTGTGACTCCGTCGCCTGGCTGTGGTGCGGCAGACTACCTCTGTGCTTACAGACGTATCTAAAGAATACATTTTTATCTACAGGGTTGCGTATATTTTTTTCTCAAAATTAAATATTGGATCAAATTAATTTTCTCCATGTTTTCTTTCCAAGCAAGTAAGTTTTGAGCATCAAATAACATTCATTTTACAGTTTTCTTTAAAAGAAATAATATTAAATTAATATTTTCTGATTGATGCATATGAACAGCCATAACACCCGAGCACTTCAAACCAACAAGCCAAGCAGAGACTCCCCGACCTCAGGATTCTCACATGTAGCTGTAATTCTGTTCAATATCCTTGAGGCTTTTATGTTCTACATATGAAAAAAATTTCACTTTGCTTCAAATCATAATTTTCCCAGGGAAAAAGCAATAACAGATGTTTAGGTAAAACTTTCTTGCTATCTGAAGGAACAAAACAATAGTGGACTGAACAGACATAAAAAAAATAGATACTTTAGATTTTTGTTGTTGTTGTTGTTGTTACCAAAACAAACTTGAAAAACCAGCCTGTCCTAATTCTGATAGAAAGACTCGTAAACACTCTTGATGTGTACTATTCAGGTGCATTTTAGATTTTCTAAGATGTTTTTCCCCCGTGTGGGTTATCTCGTGCCAGCTTGTCGCAAGGGTCAGTGTGAAGCGTGTGCCGTGTTACTATGCATTATTTACTTCACTAGGTACTGGCTGTCCTTTGTATCTGAACAGTTGATCCATTTTTCTAAGAGTTTCCTCTGGAGCTATCAATCTCTTGCCTTACCACCGTGTTTAGTTTTCAGCGGGGTGGGTAAAGTCCTTTAGCACCACGTAGGATTTTGACATCGCACATAATATTTCTTCTGTTTGTACATTTTACCTATTTTATGGCAATTTGCCCTGTATCTGTGAAGCTGTTGATTTATATCTTATATTTAGAGTAAGTTCTAGAGGAGTGAGGAATTTCTGTTTCAAAGCAAAGGGAGAATTTTCACCAGTCAAATAGTAGACTTCCTATTTGGACATTTTACCCTTTTTAATGAGAAATTGATATGGATGCGAACTTGTGGATTTGCTGCCCGTAGTTGGCTTAGCTTCTAGGATAGTAGGAGAAAATTATTTTTAAACAAGATGAAATTTTCATTTGTCTAAAGAGTGACTAGGTTTTGAATTGCTCATTTTATTGTTATTGCCATAAATCTAGCAGCTATTGGTTTACTTTTGTAGCATATTTTCTAGTCAGGGGAGAAAATTATATTTCTAAGCCAAATGGAATTTTCACTTGTCTCACAGACTTTGCAAACAGCAATGATCAGCACCATAAGAACGGGCTGGATATAAGCTGAGAGAGAAAGATCGCCTATGTCCAGCTTTTCACACTAGTGTTCATTGATGAAAGTCACCCCCCAAAGACAAGGTTGAAACAGGGAAGAAATCCTGGCTTGTGGAAAATGTTTCAAGTCAAATACTGAGATTGTTTGTGGATCTAAGTGCAGTATTTACACATCCTGTTTTTCTCTACAATTAGTCCACAATTATTGTTTCTTTTCTTTTTTCCTAACTAATTGTCCATAGGCTCATACCCTACCGGATCCTTTTTCTTCAAGCTTACCCCTCCACAGTCTCTATTCTAAATATCTAAATGTATATTCCATTTATTTATCTTATTTCCTAGTCTGAGTGTGGAACAGGACCCTAGGTAATCAGATGATACCGGTTTGTCTGTCCGGGCTCTTGGGCTGGAAAGAATCTTTACACTTTGCTCTGTTTTAGTCTCTATACTGTTTTCCCATATTTCTTAACTTTTCTAACAGGCAGGCAGGCAGGCAGGCAGAGGGATGGATGGGCACACACACACACACACACACACACACACACACACACACACACATGTTCACCCGTGTGCGCATATCATCCAGACTTTTTTCTAAACTTCAGAATTCAGTTTTCTAGTCTGCTCTTTTCCTTATTATCAGACTATTAAGTCTAAATAGCAATGCAATATTGAAAAGGAAAGAAGACGGGGAGAAAGAGAGAAAGCGAGGAAGCTAGGCTGATGTTTTTAGGTATCAACAAGTCCTATCAGAGACTGTTTTTTCTGCTTAGAGTTTTCCGGTTGGAAAGAGATTCTCAATGGTCTAAAGCCATTTCACATGGACTGCTTCCAAGCCAAATTCTCTGTACATGATTTTCATTGGTAATTTTTTTAAAAAGACATGTAACTGTAGTAAAGACAGCAATGAATTAAGCAATAATAACAATAAACCCCAAACAATCTCCACAGCCTGTCATAAACGTTTTCACTGGTATTCTTTCCTTCCTGGGTTTTACTCGGTGTGTATGCGTTTTTTCACAGACTTGTACTTTAAAGCTGTGTGGATCCTTTACACTTTATTTTGAAAGATAAATGAATCTTGCTTTAAGGGAAGCAGTTTGCAGGCTGTAGGCTGATGTGAGAGATGGTGTTCAGATTAATTAGCAGGATTGGTGTGTGAGCCGGAGACTAGCTGGGACCAGCGCCGGCCAGATGTGTATAGGTGACTGGGTCTGAAGAAGAGAGGAACCCAGGTAGGGTCATAAACCCTTGCCCTGGATCTGCACTGGTTTAACATTGGCACAAATGATTTTGACAGAGATCTAGAAGGCTTGCTTTACAGTTCATGGATGGCTGGAAAAGGGATAGCTG